TTTCTCCTGTCTCTGATCTTGTCTCCGTCTCTTCTGCCTCTCTTCTCTCTTCTGCCTAATTCGCTTCGCTCATTTGTATTTATGGTCATTCGCCCAAATTGGCAAAGTAAGACAATTCGATAATACTGGGGAATTCCTTTCTTTCTTCCACTCTCACATATTATTACCTCTCACTAAATATCCTCAGTGAGCGTGGGTGGCTTATCCACCCCCTCCTGGTATTCCAAATCGCACTTTCGACCAGTAGAATCGTTGTTTGTGAAAAATGATATTTTAGCTTTACAGCTTGAATTTGCAGCTGTCTGTCAATCAACATTGCCCCTTGTCTGGGTCACTTTTCCATCGTTCAAACTGCTCGAAATACAATTCAAATCGTTTATGTGTGAATTAAATTCTCAATCCTTCCCACGGGTTTTCGGTATTAACCCTTTTCATTTCAATGTCTCTCATTAGATAACGCTTTTTTATGTTTTAACAAAACCTTCTTCTATTTTACCGCGGCAACGTTAAATAATATCACAATGCTATGTAATATCAGTCTTCCTCTACGGAAGTGAATGCTGGATAAACACAAATGAAAAAAAAACTTGAAGCAGCAAAAATATGGTTCTACAGGAGGATGCTGAGAATCCCATGTTTTGAACATCTGAGTAACGAGGAAATTTTAAGAAAAATGTAAACAAAATTATTTTTATACATAGAATTAGGAAAAGATTGTTGAAATTTCTAGGACATATAATGAGGAAAGGAGGCTTGGAGAACCTGACACTGACAGGACATACTGAAAGCATGACGGAAGGAGGACTATAGTGAGTTAGCTGCCTAACGAATGTGTGTCAATTAAATTACGGAACATAGATTACGAGAGAGAGAGCTAAAAGGCAAAATTTACTCATAGTTACGAAGGATAGGAAGTTGTGGAGAGCATGACCACCCATCTCCTAAAAGGACACTGCACAGAGAAGATACACACTTTCAATTAATTCTTAAAATCATTTAACAGAAGAATTAAAAAAAATAAGAAGAAAATTGGAAATGCCATTAAATTTTTATTTTTCCAAGGCATTTCCAACTTGACATTTTCAATATCAACTCCAAATATAGCGCTTTCTAAACAGAATTAAAGATGAAAGAAAATTGCCCCCAATGGAAGAACCCTTTTAAGATATTTAGAAAGAATCCGTCCATATTTGAAGGAGCAGTAAATTGTGAAACGAACGACCCTCCATACTACGACACCTAAAAAAAAAAAAAAAATATATATATATATATATATATATATATATATATATTATATTTTTCGATTTCTTTTTCCTTCTCTTCCAACTTTGTGTTGGTTCCTCACGTCCCTCTTCCTCCGTTGAGTCCTTTCTTCTTTTTCAACTCTAAAAGAGCTCCTCCCACTTCTTCTCTTTCTTTTCGTTTCGATTCCTCAGCCTCCTCTTCTTATGACTCCTTTTTCTACTCTTAAGGAAAACTCCACTTCTTTTTCTTTCTTTCTTTCTTTCTTTCTTTCTTTCTTTCTTTCTTTCTTTCTTTCTTTCTTTCGATTCATTAACCTCCTCCTCACCTCCCCACGTATGACTTCGTTTGTATTCTTTTTCTGCTCTAAAAGAGCTCCTCCCACTTCTCCTCTTTCTTTTGTTCGTTTCGATTCCTTAACGTCCTCCTCTTCTTATGACTCCTTTTTCTACTCTTAAGGAAATCCCCACTTCTTTTTCTTTCTTTCTTTCTTTCTTTCTTTCTTTCTTTCTTTCTTTCTTCGTTTCGATTCCTCAGCCTCCTCCTCCTCTTTTTATGACTCCTTTATTTCTTCTTTTTCCACTCGTAAGGAAATCCCCTTTCTTCTTTTCTTTCTTTCTTTTCTTCTTTTCGATTCCTCAACCTCCTCCTCCCCTTCCTCCTATGATTTCCCATGTTTTCATTTTCTACTCTTAAAGAGCTCCTCCCACTTCTCCTCTTTCTTTTGTTCGTTTCGATTCCTTAACTTCCTCCTCCCCTTCCTCCTATGATTTCCCCTGTTTTCTTTTTTCTACTCTTAAAGAGCTCCTCCCACTTCTTCTCTTTCATTTCTTCGTTTCGATTCCTTAACTTCCTCCTCCCCTTCCTCCTATGATTTCCCCTGTTTTCTTTTTTCTACTCTTAAAGAGCTACTCCCACTTCTCCTCTTTCCTTTCTATCTTTTTCGTTTCGGTTCCTGAATATCTTCCTCCTTTTGATTCATTTTCCCATTCTTTACCATTGATTGCAAAAAAAGGTCCTCCTCTTCTTTATTCCTTTCGTTCCATCTTCTTCATTTTGACTCCTTAACTTCATCCTTTGATTCATTTTCTACTCTTAAAGAGTTGCTTCTTCCCCGATTTCTTCCTTTCCTTCCATCTTGTCCTTCTAGATTTCTTGTTTTTATTTGACGTCTTCCAAACTGTTTCTTTAACCTTTTCTTGGTCTTTTCTTTTTCAAAATGGCGAATGATATATGTCTCGAAAGTTAATTGAATGTGATTTTTAAATGGCGAAAGATGACAATCTTAAGAGGATATTTCAACGTATACAAAAATAAATACATAAATAATAATAATAATAAAAAAAAACCTTCAAAAATACACAAATAATTTAGGGGAGGTCATCCTGGTCAAATATTGGGAAACAATGCAAAACGAAGTGTTGAGTCTTTTTCATGGGCGACTGGACAGAATCTGACACCGGGCAATGATTCACCTTTTACTTAAGGTCAATAGATGTCGAAACATCTGAAAAAAGATTGAAGCAAATAAAAATAAAAAAAAATGAATGAAAAATAGAAAAATACTCGACATAAAGTAGATGAAAACTCACCTTCACGCTCGCAGACATAATAAAAAAAAAACGAATATTCGTTTTATATGGAAGATGAAAATAAATGCTTGGAGCTCTGATTTCATTGATTGTGTTCTGAGTGTGTCAGAAAGGAAAAAATATTTGTCTTTCTCCGTATTTCAATTACGCTTTTACTCATATATTGTTCTTCATTTCCTAACATTCTTTCCTTCTTTCCTTCTTTCCTTCTCTCTCTCTCACACACACACACACTCTCTCTCTCTCTCTCTCTCTCTCTCTCTCTCTCTCTCATTCTTTGTATGTTTGTCTACCTTTCCAGCTATCTCTTCTCTTTTGAAATATCCGCATTTTTTCATTTTTTCTTTCTTTTATTTAACTTGATCTCCGTTTTCTTTTCTTTTTCTTTTTTCTTTCTTTCTTTCTTTCTTTCTTTCTTCCTTCCTTCCTTCCTTTCTTTCTTTGTATTACTTATTCTGTCTCGACTTTGCGCTTCTTCTTCTTCTTCTTCTTCTTCCTTCTTCTTCTTCTTCTTCTTCTTCTTCTTCTTCTTCTTCCTCTTCCTCTTCTTCTTCTTCTTCTTCCTCTTCTTCTTCTTCTTCTTCTTCTTCTTCTTCCTCTTCTTCTTCTTCTTCTTCTTCTTCTTCTTCTTCTATTCATCTGTATTTCCATTCCATCTTCTATTTTTTTTATTTTCTTCTTTCTTTCTTTTTTAGTTTCTTTCTTTTTTACTTTCTTCCTTTATTTCTATGCATCACTCTTTAGCGTACCCTTCTTATTTCTTCTTCTTTTTTCTTCTTCTTCTTCTTCTTCTTCTTCTTCTTCTTCTCACCTTTATTTCCAATTAATCGTTTTTCTTCACTTTTCTTTCTTTCTTTCTTTCTTTTATTCGTTTCTCTCTTGCTTCTTCTTCTTCTTCTTCTTCTTTTTCTCTTTAGAGATGTTCTCAATTTCTTTCTTTTCTTTTTGTATTTTGTATCCTTTTATCTCATTTTCTAGTTTCTTTTTTGCTTTTTCCTTCCTTTTATTCTTCTTGTCTTTTGAAATATTCGCATTTCCAGTTTTCTTCCCGTCTTTCTTTCTTTCTTTTCTTTATTTTCTCTCTTTCATGCGATTCTTCTTCTTCTTCTTCTTCTTCTTCTTCTTCTTCTTCTTCTTCTTCTTCTTCCCCTCCTCCTCCTCCTCTTCCTCCTCCTTCTTCTTCTTCTTCTATCCACTCTTATTTCTAATCAACCTATTTTCTGTTTCCTCTTTTTCTACCCTTTTTCTTACTTTTTCTCCATATTTTTCATCTTCTTTTTATATCCCTATTTTCCCCACCTCAACAAGTAATATCCTCCTTGTAAAGAGCGGCACATTAACCACCGTGTTTTTTTAAAACAAACAATTTACCACCAGCATTTCTTATTAAAAAATGTTTTTAGTCCGACCGAAGACACATCAGAATATTTTTTTTAAATAATTTCATATTTCGCTTTCATTTAAAAAATGATTATTTGAAAACCGGTGTCCGGATAATCGATGTTCTTTCCATCTAATAACATAAAGGCCGTATAATCGATGTTTTTCCATCTAAAACCAGAAAGGACGGATAATTGATACCTTTTCAAAATGATTTTTTGAAAACCGGTGTCCGGATAATCGATGTTCTTTCCATCTAATAACATAATTGCCGGATAATCAATGTTTTTCCTTCTAAAATCATAAAGACCGTATAATCGATGTTTTTTCCATCTAAAACCAGAAACGACGGATAATTGATACCTTTTACTTCTAAAAGCATAAAGGCCGGATAATCGATGTCACTTCCTTCTAAAAACATAAAGGCCGGATAATCGAATTCATTTCCTTCTAAAAACATACAGACCGGATAATCGATGTTCTTTCCTTCGTAAAGCATAGAGATCAGATAATCGATTCCTTTTCCTCCTAAAAACGTAAAGGCCGGATTACTTTCCTTCTAAAAACATATAGGCCGGATAATCGATGTTTTTACATCTTAAAACGTAAAGGACTAATAATCAAAGTCCTTTACTTCTAAAAACATAAAGGCCGGATAATCGATGTTCTTTCCTTCTAAGAACATATAGGCCGGATAATCGATGTTCTTTCCTTCTAAGAACATATAGGCCGGATAATCGATGTTCTTTCCTTCTAAGAACATATAGGCCGGATAATCTATGCCTTTTCCTTCTAAAATCATAAATGCCGGATAATCGATGTTCATTCCTTCTATCTTTCTCTTTCTCAACCTCATCCTTTGACTGCCTTTTCTCTTTCTCCTACTCTTCAAACGCTCCTACCACTTCTCTTTCTTCCTCATCCTCTTTCTTCATTTGTAGCTGTTTTTCTTCTTTTTCTACTCCTAAAATCAAAGGTTGAATTATCGATGTTGGTTGGTTAATCTCAAAGACGGAATATATATATAGATGTACCTGGTACCATTACATTAAATATATAATAAACTAACTCATTATTGCACTAAAATGGACATCACTTTTTTTACAAGCAAATTAGCCCTTCAAACATCATGGACTGTCGCAGTATAATCACAAAGAACTGTACCACATAACAGAAAGCACATCACTTAAGGACTTTCAACAGCAGCAACAACTAAAATGCCTAGCGCATTAACTCAGAGAGAAAATAATGGCATAATCATGATGGTGACGTTCTGCGCTGCTTCAAAAAAAGTTAGGAAGGAAACCGCTATCAATACTGGAAAATCTATTTACCTGAAAAATTGTTTTAACAAAAAGATCTTATAAATTTTAAACGACTGCAGCACTGGCTGCCCGGCTAGTGAATGCTGAGTGTTACCTTATAACGGCTAATATTACCACATGAATCGAAAAATTTAGTTGATTAAAAAAGATGAAAATACTTAATAGTCAGTGTAGGGATGAGATTCTTATGAAAATAATTTATTCAGTATCTGTCTATATTTCTGAGATGAGGTATTATGTACATTATTTACATTATTCGGACTATTGTTCTCATCTTTGTCGCCATATTTATTACAACGTTTCGGCCTTTCAGTATCTGTCTATATTTCTGAGATGAGATGAGGTATTACGTACACTATTTACATTATTCGGACTATTGTCCTTATTTTCCTCATCTTTTTTGTCGTCATATTTCTGATTATGTACATTATTTACAACGTTTCTTTGGCCCTTTCATGTCAGTATCTGTCAATATTTCTGAGATGAGGTATTATGTACATTATTTACATTATTCGGACTATTGTCCTCATCTTTGTCACCATATTTATTACAACGTTTCGACCCTTCAGTATCTGTCTATATTTCTGAGATGAGGTATTATGTACATTATTTACATTATTCGGACTATTGTCCTCATCTTTGTTGCCATATTTATTACAACGTTTCGGCCCTTCAGTATCTGTCTATATTTCTGAGATGAGGTATGAGGTTTATTATTCGGACTATTATTTTGTTACATTTATTTCGGCCCTTCAGTATCGGACTATTTACATTATTCTCATCTTTTCGCCACATTTATTACAACGTTTCGGCCTTTCAGTATCTGTCTATATTTTGGAGATGAGGTATTATTTTTTTTTATACACTATTTACATTATTCGGACTATTGTCCTCATCTTTTACATTATTCGTCGCCATATTTCGGCCCTTATCAACGTTTTCTGGATGAGGTATTATGTACCTTTTCGGACTATTGTATCTGTTTATATTTTTCGGAGTATGTCTATATTTCTGAGATGTATTATGTATTTACCCTTTACATTATTTTCGGACTATTGTTATTCGCTCATCTTTGTCTTTTCATATTTATTACAAAGTTTCGGTCATCTTTGTCATGTATTTATTACAAAGTTTCGGTCCTTCTTCAATTTGTTGGAATGTCGAACTCAATTCTTTATTTCGCACACTTGGGTAGACTGTTCTAGTTCCACGTGTCATGTTTAAGGAGTGCCAGAGAAAAACGATAATAACAACAAAAATTGTAATATAATCTCTGGTAAAATCATGAAATGATAACAGCAAAAATTGCAATATGGGCACTGGTTAAAAAAATGGTGCTGAAGACATGAGTTTATAATACTCAGAAATTCATACACATATGTCCTCAAGGACACATGGCACAGTGTTTAAAGGACCCAAACAATGTGAGTTCAATACGCGGTTATGGCAGTGGAGAACTTTCAGAGGGAAATTAACAGGAGATAACTGATAACTGACATCCATTAGACATGGCACGGGGAACTAGAACAGTCTACCCCAGTGAGCGAAATAAAGGGTTCAGTTCGACATTCCAACAACCTGAAGACGGCCGGAGCGTACAACGGCCGAAACGTTGTAATAAATATGGCGACAAAGATTAAGACAATAGTCTGAATAATCTAAATAGTGTAAAATAAAAAGGACACTGATATTAATCTAATTAGATTTTCTCTTTGGCACTTTGACTCCACGAATTTAAGCGTAGTGATAGATTGGCAACTAGGTATCATCATTATAATGATAGTCTCTTTTTGTTCCGCGTCTCGTATCCACGAGTTTGTCGTTGCTTTGAAATTTTTTATGCAACAAAACAGACTATCATTATTGTTTCGTCCGTGTGTTGTTTGATATATTGAAATGTAATTGTCATCTTTGATAATGGCTTATGTAAGCCGAAAGCTTAGATTGGATTTAAACATCAATATCAATTTGGTGATTTCCTTTCGTCTTTCAATGATAATGTTATTAAGCTTATACAGACAATATGAAAGGAACTTAAAATAAATAGACAAAACTTGTCTATATTATTTAATGAAACATGCATTAATATATATATATATATATATATATATATATATATATATATATATGGGGGGATTATATATCAAGATAATTTCTTCTTAGACGAAGAAGAGAGTTGAAGCAACAGAAATATAGTTCTACAAAAGGACACTGAGAATACTATTGACGGAACAAGTGGGTAATGTGGAAGTTTCAAGGAAAACTTAAACATAATGGGCACATAATGAGAACAGAGGGCTTGGAGAATTTAACGCTCCTAGGGCAGATTGACGCCGATTGATGGAAACAAGGAAAGGCCGAATAACGGGCCTAAAAAGATGACGGAACACGGACTGGATGTGATGGTGAAAAGACTTTACCAAGAACTATAAAAGATAGGGAGTCCTAGGGAGCCATGAATTTACACACGTCCTGAAGGGTCACGGCAAATCGAAGAAACAGAAGACGAAAAAGAAGTCATTGTCTACAGATTTTAAATACCTGAGACAAACTCTTTTTCTGACAATTTTTTTTCTTTCTTTCTTTCTTTCTTTCTTCTTGTCCCTTTCTCTTCGTCTCGATGTCTTCAGGCTCTCTTTTACTCCCTTGTGCATTCCCTTCTTTTGTGGGCCACCGGGAACTCTCCTTAAGCACGTCGATATCATTTTCTTCCGCCAAGCCCCTATTTTTTTTTTTTTTTGATTCTCCCGTAAGAGGAATTACGCACACTGTCTGACCTTTGCTCAGAGAATGTAGCAAAGGGAACATCTTAATAAAACGGGTGCGATGAGATCGTAATAATGGAGAGAGAGAAAAAAAAATATCATCAGACAGAAACATCGAATATGGCGGCGGACAGCCAATCCGTAATTAAATTAGTCGACTTGAAGAGGATTTTTAAGAATTCCACACACAGACACACACAAACACATACACAAGAAGGAATACAGGACGTAAAAAGTTATATTGAAAATGTTATTAAAGTCTATTTTTTGTCTAAAGAAAAGTAAATAAAATTACAGCGTTTTTATTTTTCCTCTCTAAAAACTTTAAACAATGGTTGATGTCGAGAAAAGATGATGGGTGTGTGGTGGTGCGTCTGCGTGAACGCGTGCGTGTGTAGGTGTGTGTATGTGTGAATGTGTGTATGTGCGTGTGTATCAAACGGAAGGAGAACAGAGACATGTGAATATCGGTGCATATGAGTGCAATTGTGTATTTATGGATGTTTGGAGATGTGTATATTAAGAATAGGCTGAGATAGCTAGATAGATAGATAGATAGATAAGAGGCTTATATAGATAGAGAAGAGACTGAGATAGATAGATAGATAGATAGATAGATAGATAGATAGATAGATAGATAGATAGAGAAGAGGCTGAGATAGATAGATAGATAGATAGATAGATAGATAGATAGATAGATAGATAAGAGGCTTATATAGATAGAGAAGAGACTGAGATAGATAGATAGATAGATAGATAGATAGATAGATAGATAGATAGATAGATAGATAGATGAAAAGATAGATAGATAGATGAGATAGATAGATAGATAGATAGATAGATAGATAGATAGATAGATAGATAAGAGGCTTATATAGATAGAGAAGAGACTGAGACAGATAGATAGATAGATAGATAGATAGATAGATAGATAGATAGATAGATAAATAGATAGATAGAGAAGAGGCTGAGATAGATAGATAGATAGATAGATAGATAAGATGCTTATATAGATAGAGAAGAGACTGAGACAGATAGATAGATAGATAGATAGATAGATAGATAGATAGATAGATAGATAGAGAAGAGACTGAGACAGATAGATAGATAGATAGATAGATAGATAGATAGATAGATAGATAGATAGATAGATAGATAGATAATGAAGATACGAGTATATATGTGTAGATAGATATGAACTGAGATAGATAGATAGATAGATAGATAGATAGATAGATAGATAGATAGATAGATAGATAGATAAGAGGCTGAGAGAGATAGATAGATAATGAAGATACGAGGATATATGGGTAGATAGATATGAACTGACTGAGATAGACAGATAGATAGATAGATAGATAGATACGATACGATACGATCCAATACGATACGATACCTACGATCAGACTGTGTCGATAGATAGGAACAGACTTGCATAGATAGATAGATAGATAGATAGATAGATAGATAGATAGAAATAGACTGAGATAGATAGATAGATAGATAGATAGATAGATAGATAGATAGATAGATTATGAAGACACGAGAAAATATGGGTAGATAGATATGAACTGACTGAGATAGATAGATAGATAGATAGATAGATAGATAGATAGATAGATAGATAGATATTAACTTAATGAGATAGATAGATATGAGCTGACGTCTCTCACATAGATACTCTCGTGCACACACCCTTACGCATACATACACGCACTCTATTACATGCACACCCTCTTTGACACACAACTCTATTCATATTAAGCTTGAATTTAACTTGGTAGCTCATCTCGAAAATCACCTTTGATCTGTTGTCAACTGGAGCAATGAATGAAACAGCTTACTTTGTATTGACTCCTTGCGCCGTCTAACCTTATCCGCGGATATCAAGTGGAACCGGTTATAGCGAATCAATTGCAGGGTCTGCTGCTAAAAGGTTTGGTTCAACGTTCCATTCGAAGCAATTTTCTCTCGGCTAAGTCTATCTTGCACATTTACAAGTTCACCCTTCGTCCGTTGAAGATATCGTTGCCACCTCTTCCCCGATGGTTCTTTTCACTATCTAGAGATTCAAAGAAGAATCTATCATGTTATTGGTCTGGACGTGGCATCTCGGCTTCAGTCATTTTCTTACCGCCGTAACACAGCTTCTTTGTGGCCTTTCTATAAATATGTTCTATTGTAATTATCCTAATGAGTTTTTCTCTTTGGCACTTTGACTCCACGAATTTAGCCGCAGTACTTGATTGGCAGCTAGGTCTCATCATTTTACAATGGGAATGTTGAGATGTAATCCTAAGTTCTAAACAAACAGTGTCTTCTCTTGCAATTTTTGCTTCAATATAGGGCTTATAATACACATTTCTCACACAATGTTTCAATATTATATGTATATATATATATATATATATATATATATATATATATATATGATAACACACATCCACAGCAATACACACGCTTACACATATCATACTCACTCACTCCCTAAGAACCAAATAACACACACACAAACACTAAACAGAGACACATCCCCTCTCCAGGACCAATAAAACTGTCAAACTGACCAGGGAAATTCAGAGCAGCATGGATCTATCCAGCTCTTATCTCAAATTACAACTTAAAAGAGACTGTTTGACCAACACAAGGATTGTTAAAACAAATGAAAACTACAGACAAAAGTTCATTTTCTCCAGCAAGACATTCACTTCTTTAGTTTACTGCTACCAGCAAGCAGAAATATTTCTTCTCCTGATGATGACCATTTTGGCCGAAACTAGTCGAGGAATCTAAATTAAATAATAATAAAAAAAACGAAAGAATATTAATCTACAACCCAGTGTGTCTGAAGATTTTAATTTTTTAATATATTTTATTGTTCAATATATATATATATATATATATATATATATATATATATATAATATGAAAGGGTCAAACACTAATATTTCAGGGTTATAATCTATTACATTGGAATCGTAATCACGATCAAATTCATCAGATCTACAAATTCAAAAAGAAATCCGAAAATATAACTCCGGGTATAAAAAGAAAATTTTAGTGATAGTGTATGTGTGTGAGAGGGAAATGTATGAAATCTCTAGAGAGAGGTGTAACAGAAGAAAGAAGAAAAAGAAAGGCCTAAAGGTGAAGGCGGGGATTAAAATTTAACAGAGAGAAGTTTTAAAGAGAGGAGTTAAATAACGGTTTAAATGTATGAGATACAGATAAATATGAATTATTTTCAGATGCATAATTCACTACCGATTCGCTGACCTAAAATTAAAATTAAAAAACAGACACCGGAAAAGTGTGGATCCATTTGTGGTGACACTACGCACAATAAAAAACGATGATCTGTTATATGATTAAATTCTTATTCTGTCCTGAACATTGAGTTCTACCTGGATTCTTTCCTCTTGAAATATATATATATATATATATATATATATATATATATATATACGTGTGTGTGTTTGTGTGTGGGGGTGTACTGACCACTAATATTATATAATTACATAAAATGAAACTCAATTTTAACAAATTTATATGGCCATTTCGCTCCTCAAGATATTTGCCTCTTGGAGAGAAATGGCCATATAAATGGGTTACAACTGAGTTTCATTTTATATAATTCATTTATATATAATAAATATAGAGATCTCTTTTGTGGATCAGTTTGAATATTCATATTATTTGTATTCACTTAGATTACTTACCCACGGATGGATATATATATATATATATATATATATATATATATATATATATATATATATATATATATATATATATATATATATATATATATATATATATATATATATATATATATATATATATATATATATATATATATATATATATATATATATATATATATATAAAATATATGTATATAAATAAAAAAAAACAAACAGCAAGATATATAGTCCGGTGTTCTTATAGATATTTTTATTTTTAGAAAATAGTGCTCAATGTAAATTTACAGAGCATTAATATTATAAATTAATTGATTTAAAATATGTTTTTCCGCTACACAGTTCTAACCATGTTTCAAAAATGGAAGATAAAAGCCACGAATTTAATTTTGTGATTAAATTAAAGACATTAGTTCCATTTCATCCTCAAGCAAATTTGGGAGTCTCCAAGAACTGTGTAGCGAAAACACCATATTTTAAATCAATTAATTTATAATATATATATATATATATATATATATATATATATATATATATATATAGCCGTGTCTTCAGTTGAGCTCTCTGGGGAGGAGGTGTGGGTTTGTAAACAGTGACTATTATGGCTGATATAGCGAGACTCTTCGGCAAAAGCGAATTGAGTCACTGTCGGTCACTGTGTGTGTTTATCTAAAAATAAATACACTAAAATTCATCTTCATCCGTGCGCCGACAGCTTTGTTGGGGAATCTCCGACTGAAAATCAATTCAGTCGGGTTTCGATCCTAGCTTGAGGCAACCGGATGTCTAGCCACACTGAAGAGCCGCGAAACAGTCTGTCTGTGGATGACTTTATATATATATATATATAATTTTGAATCCGGATGCTATGAAGAGCCCACTAACCAATACTTCTGGCTCTGCTATTGCAGAGCATGTAATAAAATATAATAAAGTAAGAAATGTGTCTTTGATTTTAGTGCGGACCATTTTTCGATTTTATCTAGGTCCCACTACTCATCACCTCAAAATTCTAGGGTCCTTGTATATCAGATCCTGTGGGCCTTTCTTTTGTAAACAGAGGGAATGCTTACTGAATCTGAATGTTATTGGACTCTAGCTCTCTTGAAGTTCATTAATTTTTCCCTTCCATTCGTTATACTAATTTAATTTACACGCTTATATATTTTTTATATCCCAGATAAATAAACTTGATAAGGCTGGGACGAAAGCGGTTGTTTTATTTTAGTTTTTAAAATATAAAATAAATGACATATAAATTATGCTAATTCCTAGCTTTCCTTGAATTTTGTACTACAAAAACTTATTTAATATATATATATATATATATATATATATATATATATATATATATATATATAAATATATATATATATATATATATATATATAGATAGATAGATAGATAGATACATACATACATACATACATACATACATTAGGGAAGATTTATTTTTAATATCAAATTTTTACTTTTTTATTTTTATTTAATTTTTAATTTTTAATTTTTATTTTTATTTTTAATTTATAATTTTTATTATATTTTTATTTAATTTTGAGTCTGTCTATATTTCTGAGATGAGATATTATGTACATTATTTACATTATTCGGACTATTGTCTTCATCTTTGTCGCCATATTTATTACAACGTTTCGGCCCTTCAGTATCTGTCTATATTTCTGAGATGAGGTATTATGTACATTATTTACATTATTCGGACTATTGTCTTCTTCTTTGTCGCCATATTTATTACAAAGTTTCGGCCCCTCAGTATCTATATTTCTGAGATGAGGTATTATGTACATTATTTACATTATTCGGACTATTGTCCTCATCTTTGTCGCTTTTTATTGCACTTGGCGAGCCTTGACTACATCAAATTCGTGTCTGTAGGATTTATCCAGGTCATTTAAGTTATTTAATTTTATTTATTAATTTATTTTTAATTTATATTTTTTATTATATTTTTATTTAATTTTTATTTTTATTTTTACTTTTATTTTGAATTTTACAGATTCAAAATGAAAGTGAACACCCGTGTTTGAAATAGACACCCAGTGTGTGTGTGTGTATGTGTGTATATATATATATATATATATATATATATATATATATATATATATTATGAAATGGACAAAGTCCGACAAATATTTTAAGACATTTTTTTTTATACATTCTTTTTATACATACAAATATTTAAGTAAATAGCCTGTTTACAATAAACAGTATTAAACAACATTTACCGGCCTGAATGTCCGAGAAATTTTCATATATAAATATATATATATATATATATATATATTACTTTAAACATTGAGTATTGCATTTATTGCCTGTGATATCGAGAAATCTTAATGAAGTATAAGTTCTCTTTTGCTGGGTTTGAACCTGCATCCCACTCTGAACGAGAAAGTACCGTTTGATCAGTTGACCTTTAGACTGCACAGTCAAAGAGATCTTCACAGCTCAAGAAAGTCCTTTCTTACATACATGATATACACTGTTTAAAATAATAAAAAATGGGGCGTCTGCATCAAACGCGGTTATCCACTGTGAATAATGTTTTAAGGAATGAAAGTTTCAGGCTTCTTTCTAAATAGCTTTGTTTACGTTACGGTCTTTCTAGAATAACTGAACGTAGTGTGCATTCCTTAAAAGGGCAAATAGAAACTTGCGCGGCTCTGCAGCTCTCTGAAGCCGAGCTGGTTAAAGCACACCGGATCTAACGATGGAGAGCCCTATTTGTCTTAGGTTTTCTCGAGTTGGCAGACCGATAGACGTAATCAGTCAGCCATGTGCCATGCGTGATACACGTTTAGCCGATCATGTATCTTTCGATACATGACTGACGAGGCAGATTTTTTCCCGCAATAGGTTGCCATTTCTTTCAACGGTAGACCAGTTGCCATCCAAGGCTATAGAACCCGGTCTGTCCTGCTATTTACACATCGCTGGGGGGTGGGTGGAGAAGAAGGGAATTCATACCTTTCCCAAG